TTCCTGACACAACCCACAAAAACTCAGGAAACCAAGTTCTTTGCCTGCTTCCTCCAGAAAAGAAAACAGCAGCAAGTGTCCACAACTCACCTGGAGACTCTGCAGCAAGCAGGTCAAGGGGCTGGAGGCCCCAGAGAGAGGTGGGGGGGCACCTCCCCCAGGGAGGAGCTGGAGCCCAAGCTGACCAGGGAAAAGAGGGCCTGGAGGGGTCAGCAGGCTGGGAAGGGTCCCAGGGCTGCTGGTCATTGAAGACAAGTCACCTGAGAATAAGGCAAGGAAGTTAGGAGGTCCCCTATGCAAACAGAGCAAACCCAGACCATCCTGTGAGTATTCAGGGGGGTATGAGCCGTGAACCCACAGCCTTATAAGGCAGTGGCCCCAGTGATCACTCGGCATCACTTTTGAAATCTCTCCTCCTTGGACTTACCCAGCAGGCTGGCACTCAGCAGAGGGCTGAGAAGTGGGGGGGTTCTCCCTGAGGTGGAAGGGGCCTTGCCCAGAGAGGAGGCCCCAGGGTCAGTAGTTGCCGTGGTGACGCTGGAGGTAGGTGGTCCAGGTTGGGGGGGTGCTCAGAACACAGGACTGAGTCAAAAGAAGCATAGGCCATGAACAGTCAAGATCCGTATTCCAGTAGCAGTGCTGCCCCAACTACTTCCACCCCCAGCCAGTGACTCAAACCTCTACCTTCCCCTAGGGAAGAATTTTTCTAGGAAGATGAACACCTTCTCCTTCCTCCCCAGCACTCCTTTCCCTGGTCTTTCCCTAACGCCACCTATTGCTTTTCTATCCCCATCCTCACCTGGGAAGGGTTCCCTGCAGGGGGGTCCAGGCTGGCAGCCAGCAGCGCAGAATTTAAAGCTATGAGGGCAGGTGGGGCTGAGAGGGGGGGAAACAGGAGGGGGGGCAGGTCTCCCAAACCTGGAAATGACTCCCCACTTGGACCCCCCGACACCTCCCCAGGTCCTTCCCCATCCCCCGACGGGGGACCCAAAGCCAGTAGGGGTAGAAGTGAGGCAAGGAGGTTGGTGGGAGGGGCTGGAGTGGGTGGGAGTAGGTCCGAGGAGGGTGGTGGAAGCAGGGAAGCCACCAAAAGTGATGGTCCCTCAGGATCGCCTGGAGCCAGGGGGGGCCCTGGACCCCCAGGAGGAGGCAGGAAGGGCTCAGGGGGAGGTTGCCCCCCACCCCCAGCCAACACACCACCCAACAAACTGTGGCTAAGCAATGGAGGGGGAGGAGGCTGCCCCAAACTCAAGGGAAGAGGCAGGGCCCCAAGCAGTCCTGGAAAGCCTGCCCCACCCAATGCCAAGCCCTGCTCTGGGCTGGGAAAGGGGAAGGCTTCCCCCCCACCAAGGGAGGGAAGAGGGCAGGTTGGACCCATCCCTTCAGGGGTGCTTCGAAGGACAGGGCTGGGGACCGGGGGGGCTTTGGTGGCGGCTGGAGGGGCAGGGGCACCTGGAAAAAAGAGAGGGAAGAGTCAGAAAAGGGAAAAGAAAACCCCACCCTATTACCCAGGGAAAACAGCCTCTCTGTCCAGTTTTGACCCAAACAACATGGAAGGAGTTCCCCCTCTAACCTTTAACCCAAACGCCTGGGGTGACAGATCTACCCCAACCCAGTCACTCATGGGGAGAGGGAGCTGCTTCATAACATCCATGTACCTGGCATGCTGCTGAGGCTGCCACTGCTAGTCCCAGGTAAGGAGGGCTGGATGGGGTGCATGGGTTGAGGGGGGCTCCCTGAGGAGAGGGGAAGGGGTGGGGGAAGGGGCACATCGGACCCCGAAAGGTTAAAGCTTCCATCGGAGTGGGGAGGGGTAGAGAGCCCCAGCAGGGATAGCACAGAGGGGAGGATTGGGTTAGATGGTTCAGAGTGAGGGAAAGAAGGGGGAGCAGGGGCTCGAGGGCGGGTCCGCCGGGGTATCAAAGGCCCTCCCCCTTCCAGCAAGCGGAGAACAGTTGGAGGCCTGCGGGGGCGGCGTTGGGAACGGGGTGAGGGCTGATGGGGAGGAGGGGGCGCCTGGGCTCGAAGCCTTCGGCCCTGTAAAGTGCTGGGGGGAGGCAGTGAGGGGCGCTGTGCCTTGGCTGCTGCAGAGAGTAGGCTGCTGGCGAGGAACGGGGGTGCCCCCAGTCCCCTCTACCATGGGACCCCCTCCCAGAGGCCCCAGGACCAGGGGCAAGGGCAGGTGCATAGAGGCTGAAGACACTGGTGGCTGAGTGGGGGGTCCACAAGAGCCAGGGAGATTATTGCTTGGAGGCAGGGGGGAGGGCGTTAAGGCATCGCTGCAGTGGAAAGGGGAATCCAGAGGGTGCTCGCCACTCCCCGTGGGTGGTGAAGAGGAAATAAGGGGTGCAGGAGGAGAACCCAGGTCTGGAGGAACCAGGCTGGGTCTGAGGGCAGTCCCCCAGATATATGGGGAGGCATTGAGACTGACAGCAGGAGGTGGGGGTGGGGCTGGGGAGGGGGCATTGCCCCTTGGGAGGAAGCAAGGGCTGTTGCTGCCCCCTGGGGTACCTGGGTCAGGGGGCCTTGGGGGTGGAAAGACACTCCCAGGGCCTGATAAGGGGGGAAAGGGCTGAGGAGATGCAGAAAGTGGCTCTGGGGGTAGAGTACAGGGTCCCCCATTAAGTGGGGCCATGGGAGGGACTCGGCAAGGGGGATGGGCAGTCGGGGGACCTGGGGACACAGTGTGGAACAGTTGGGGGCTTGCTCCCCCTCCTGCAACAGATCAGAAATAAGAGGGTCAAAGCCAGGAACCTCTGCATCCAAGAACTTCTCATTCCTCAGTTCCACCTCTATCAGGTGTTCCTGTTTGCCTGACCCCTACCTCACACTCCAGCACCCCGCCCAATCCACAGCAGCCCCACTCCATTCAGGCCTATCTCCCCCATATCCTCTCTGCTCAGCCCTCCCAGACTTGGGAGCACCCCTCCCCTGGCTCCCTCACCCAGGTTCCTAGGTTCCCTCTAATCCCTCTCTTTCTCTCACCAGGGGAGGGGTGTGAACAGGTGGTCTCCATACTTCTGTATAGCGTTGCCATGGCGACAGCTTTCCGCCTGTGGTTGCACAGCTTGGTCATGTCCTCCTCAGCTGCCGGCCCCACCCCTGCCCCGCCCGGGGGTCACCAGGGCCAAGGGGTCAAAGTTGAAAACCTATATGGCAGAGGGTAAGGACAGGCTGAGCAAGCAGAGATGTTGGGATAGATGCCACAACCTATGATTCCCAGGGAGGTTTTGGACTAGCTCCCCACTCCTCCACCTTGGCCAACCCTCATCATGCTGACCTTTGGGACATTGAGTGGACACTCCAGGCCACACTTGCAGGTCCCGTCACTGAGGAGGTAGCTCCGGGTTTGCTCCAGGGAAGACAGCTCTGTGCCACTTGGACTGGGGAGGAAAAGGGTCAGGAAGGATGGGATTAGGGGGCACAAGGTCAGCAAATACTCCCAAGGGGCACAGCTACTTAAGCCAATTCCAAGATCCTCCTGGGTGGGGCAGCATAATCTAAGAGTCGGGCTGAGTGGGGGGAGGGAGGCCAGGGGATACTTCAGTGGATGCAGGAGCATGGCTCAAGGGGGGCAGCTGGGGGTGCAGGGGTCTGAGCTGTGAGTGAACAGATTGAAAAAAAATAGAATGGAGGAAATCAGAAAATCCTGGAAAGGTCCATACCTGACATAGAGCACGGCACCCTCCCGCACACAGCGCTGCCAGCCAATAGGGACAGGGGAGGCCCCAGGGCCCCCAGCTCTGTCTGCTTCGCTGCTCTCATTGCCCCCATTCATTGTGTGCGCTCAGCTCCCATTCGCCTGACAACACAGACACTCTGGTGGGCACTGGCAGAAGGGCAGGGAGGGACACAGGACAGGGCATGAGGGAAGGCTTGGCTAGAAAGGGGAGAAACCAGCGGGAGTCGCATGCCTACATGAGCCTAGGCAACCCTAGGAAGAGCCCCAGGGCGTTCAGGGGCACTTTCTGGAAGCTGGGGCAGGAGAGCTGGGGGATGCCCGCGGCGCACGGCTACCTTAACATCTCTGCAAACATGGTGGTGTCCAGTCCAAGCCGGGGCCTCCGGCTTAGCCCACACCTGCAACACAGGGGATGGGGCCCTGTCAGCAGGAATGACAGCGCCCGACACTCTCCCCAGCGGTCTTTGAAGACCTCGGACAGAGCAGGAATCCCAACTACTCCCCCAGGGCCCAGCGGACCCCCTCCTGACCTGGGGGTCTGAAGATCGCAGCCCTCCGTCTCAGAGGGTCAGAAGACCACCCAAAGCAGTGGAGGTAAATTAGCCAGCCGTCAGCACCCACTAGTGTCCTCTTCCAAGAGGTCTATACAGTTTACCCCACAGATCGACAAGATTTCATTGCCCCGAAGCCCTCTAGGGTGACCTCCCTTCATGTCTCCACTGCCACCCGACGTTTCCCCCAACACATTCTGCGTTCATCGAGACCCTGGACTGGAGGCGCCTCTCCATCCCCCTCCCCAGTTGTGGCGCCTTGAAGGTTCCTGCATTTCCCCCACCCTGAGTTTCGACGGAGGGCACAGCAGGCGAAGAGGGCCCCGCCAGCCTCCCTCGCAGCCCCCCGGCACCCCTGTCACCCCGCGCCGCCGGCCCGCCTCGGCCTGGGGACGCGAGAGGTTGGCGAGTAGGAAGGAACTTGGGGGGAGGGCGGAGGGGTGAGCGCCGTGTCGGGAGGAGGAGGAAGGAGGCGGCGCAGGAGGCAGGAGACAGACCCAGAGGTAGGTGGCGGGGGAGGGGGAGGGGAGAGCGAGGGGGGAGGAGGAGGGAGGGAGGAGGAGGGAGGGAGCAGGAGGGAGGGAGCAGGTGAGAGGAAGCGGCGCGGGGATGGGGACCGAGGGGAGGCGAAGGAGAGAAAAGGGGAGCGGGGAGGGAGCAGGGACGGAGAGAGGGAGGGCAGAGCGGGGGAAGGGGGGAAGGAAGAAGCCGAGGAGGGAGGGGGCAGGAGGGGGAGGGGCGGGGGGCCGGGCCCCCGCACTCACCGCGGCCCATAGTGCCGGCCGGCCCCGCCCTGCGCAGTCGCGGCCCGGTGGGTGAGTGTAAGGGGGTGGGGGTAAGGGGTCGGTGTAGCCCGAGCCTCCGGCCAGTCCTAGCAGGAAGCACCGCCGCTGCCGCGGATCACCGAGCGGCCTCCCGCGCATGCGCCATAGGGGCCAGGGGCAGCCCTGGGGATTCCGTTCCCAGAAGGCCCCGCGCGGGTCGCCGCTCCGCCGCCGCCGCCGCCGCCGCCGCCGCCGCCGCCGCCCGGACGGGAGAGGGGCGGGGTCAGGCCCCCCACCCCGCGGACCGCGAAGAACCAACGGGAGGGTCCGCAGTGCGCATGCGGACACGCGCCTGCACCGCCCTCCCCCCTCCCCCGATCAATCCCCCAGGGAACAAACCCGTCCCTCCTCCCCGCGGGGATCTGAGCTAATTCCCGGTCCACCAATGACCTCTCCCGGCCCGCCCCAAGACCGAGCCCCGGACGGCCAAGGAGAGCGGGATTGCGGAAACCCCCAGTGCCTTCCCAAAGACGAGGCGCGGTACAGGCTGGGCCAGGAGTCCGAGGACCCGAGTGCGAATCCCAACTTGGCCACTTTCTCCACCGGGGCGACCTAGAGCCAGTCACGCAACCTTCTCTGATCCTCCCTTTCCTGATCCCTAAAAGGAGGGCGTTGGGCAGCTCTTTATCCCCCAGTCCCCCAGGACCTCCCTCCGCCTGTCATCGACCCAGGGCGCACTGCCTCTGCGGGGATGACAGAAGCTCAGCATGTCTCCTAAGGCCAGATCCTCGGCTGACCGAGAGGTAACAGGTCCCCAGGCTTATCACAGCACACCTGTCATTTGCCCTTCTGACAGCTTCGGCCATGTCACATCAGGAACACGCGGCCTCCGCTTCAAGGAGGGCGCGAGTCAGATCTTCGCTCTTTGTCTAGTGCCCCACTAGCGCCTTTTGATTGGCGGCATTCTCATTCTCCTCCTTTTGCAGATGAGAAAACTGAGGCACCAGAGCTTAAGTGACGTGGCTAGTGATTGGCATTGCTCTCACACCCAGTCCATCCTTCATATAGACCGTCCCTCATAATCTCCCTCGTGCATACATATGTCCGCATCACTTTTTTTTTCAAATATCCTTATTCCTGAAAAAAAGATATTGGCATTAAAGGCACTCCATAATCTGGCATCACTACCTTTTTTCCATCCTTTTCACTTCAAGGAGTATTAATGAAGGTAATTAAGCCCCCTTATATTCCATTACTGGGCGCCCCCCCCATAATCCAAAGGGCTTGTAATGTTCCTGAAATATTCATTGCTTCTCCTCTTCACTTGCTGGACTCCCAACACATCTTTTAACTGCAGGAAGGCTTTGCTGATTTTAGCACTCTTCTTCGTGGAAGGATGAACTTCATGCATTTATCATGTGTTTTTTATTTTTTATATAGAATAACGTGTATTATTTTTGTATCTGTGTTTATATCTCATTCTCTTCATAGATAGTAAGCTCTATGAGCAAAGGGACCACATCTCATCTCCCCAAGAGCCTAGGAGTACTTCGCACTCAGCAGACATTTAATGTTATGTTGAATTAAAGCACTTTAAAAATTCATTTCAATAAACATTTATTATAGGTGCTCAACCCACTGGTGTGCAAAAATCACTGTGCCCTACAACTTCCCGGAGTCGTTACTTACTACTTACTGGACTATAAACTGCTTATTTATCTTTCTCTCCTGCATAAGCACGTTTAATAATCTGCTGAAGGATGCATTTGTTTTCCATCACACACAGCCTGGCCTCGAGTCCCTGTGCTCCATGGGGAGGGAAGTCCAAAAGGACAGCGACGGTCCGAGTCCTCTGGGTTAGAGGCAGAAATCTTGGGGTGCTGCACCCTCAGAAGGGCCTTCTTGGAGGAAGCTTGCATGACCCCAAGAGTGAAAGTTAAAGACCTTTTGCTTTTGTTGGGGGTGGGGGAGGGTGTGTGCAGTGGGAAGGATAGGTCACTCTGTGGTGAGAGACAGAAAACCATGACAGCCCTGGGAATCAGAGCTGGGATTCTTTGACATCACCCAGTCAGCCCTCTCCCTGCCCCCCCAACCCATTTTACAGATGAGCAAAAGGAGGCCAAGAGTGGTGAAAGGAGAGATTTGGGGCTGGAGCGCGTCCAGGTCTCTCTCTGCCCCAAGTGGCCCCCGCTGGTTGAGGCGGCGGAGGCCGGGAAGGCCCCCTGCCACGCCGGGGCATTCGCTGGGCCCAGGGTGGGGCGGTTGGCGGCTCCTGGCAGTTGGGCGCCCACGGCTCCAGGCCGCCCGGGCCCCCGCCTCCTACCGCCCTCCACAGCCCGTGCGCGTGCGCGCGCGCAGACACCGGTTGCCAAACATTGCATCATCTCCGCCCTCCTTTCCTTGCTTACTCCCTCTCCCTCCCTCTCCTGGCCCCACACCCCTCTTCCCTTTCCCTGCGCTCCCCTCTTCTCCTCCCTGCTCTTGCTTGCGCGCGCTCGCGCGCGCGCACTCCCATGACTCATCCATCTCCCCAGAGCCTCGTGACCCGAAGCCACTTCCGGGTACAACGCAACTTCTATCCCCGCATGGAGTGGGGCTGCGGAGGGGGGACCTAGGAGCTCCTGAATGGTGGACCGCAGGGGGCGGGGCGGGGCCGAAGCTGGCGTGCCCCTTGCCTATTGGGTGGTGACTCGACACCCCGCCCACCCCCGGGGAGGAGGGCAGGGCTGTTTTAAAAGGTTTGGACCCGAGGCCTTGCCGAGGTCAGACGCTTGAGTACAAGGCAAAGGATAGATGATGATGAAGATGATCTGGTGGCAGCAGCAAAGCCAGAACCAGAGCCGGGACCCGAGGAGAGAGGCGAGTGCCAGTCCCTGTCTTCTCCCCTCCCGTGTCACTTATTGCCCTCCCCAAATTAGGGACTCCACCCCCTACACCAGGGGCTGCGCCCCAAAAAGTGATCTTCTTTTATGGGGTCTTTTATAACCTTATTAGCCTAAGAGCCTAATAAATTCAGGGTACTGTGGAGCGCATCGCCCCCCAAAAAAGGTGTGGGCTCCTCTTGTCCAGTATAGGGAAGGATTTATGCCCCTCCTCCTTCTTTGGAAGGACAACCCCTCGCTCCACCCAGTCTGACAAGGATAACTGAGTCTGTGGGATTCTGCTCTCTTCGGGTACCAGGGTGATGGCTCGGGCGGGCAAGAAGGTGAGCTTGGCCCGCCAGAGGGGAGGATACTGACCTCTGAGGCGAGCACGGTCACCACTCGCCCAATCACAGTGAGAGAGGTGTCAGGAGCCCTCCCCCCTGCTGTTATCCAAGCCTGAATAACTTGGGATTTGGGCTACAGCGTAGCTCACCCGTTCTCTCCTGCCTGGTCTGCTAGCAAGAATCTGGGCTCTGTTTATTCTGTTGATTTGTGCTCTTGGGCCCTGTGATTAACATCTCCAGTCAGCAGGGAGAACTTTACAAATAAGGATCACTTAGAAAATAGTAAGGACGAGGAAGCCCGAGAGGGGAGTGATTTCCTCTTACCCTAGCCTGGAAGCTTTATTAATGTAGCAGTTATCTCTCCAGTTTGGGGCAATCTGAATGTAATACTTGGTATGCTGCATTTCTGGCAGACTGAATTTTTCTTGCATCCTCCTATCCTGTGTCCCTTTCCAAGCAGCCGTATGTAACCATTGCATCAGGCCAGCCCCCTTCCTGACTCTGGAGCCCTCTGGCCTGGAGCCTGACTGCTGATGAAAGCGCTGTCCTGTATGCAGGAAGGCAAGGGAGAGTCCCATGGGGAATTGACAGCCCAGCAGAGAAATACTGGGGGTGGTATTGCATCTCCAGCCTCCAGGGATTCCTGAAGCTGCTGCTGCTGCTGCTTGCCACCTCTGGGCTGCAGCTGTCCCTGCCTTGTCAAGGGGACACAGAATCAGGAAAGTGCCAATCCAGTCCCTTCTCCAGCAATTAATTGTGGCCTAATTTGGATATTAAGAAGGCTGTGGTTTGCCTGGGACTTTTTCAATTATGCAATAAGGATGACAAATGTCAGCAACTAAAAATAAAGAGAATTGGGCTCTTCTTTGACCAGTACCCACACACACCTTGGAGGAGGACTCTAACTGATCAGCATAGCTCTCAGACAACTTCCAGACTGAGAAGGAAGGAAAGTAGAGGAACAGTCTTTCAAATGAACTAACTCTTTTTTTCTCTACCTTCTACAGTGTTCCAGAAGAAAGTCTATCTTCATACATCACCATACCTGAGAGCAGGTAAATTTGAGCAGGCCTTTCCCTCTAATCTTTGAGAATCTCCATGGTGATCCTTAAAGATGCCAGAGCATCTTTAAGGATTTGGTATAGATTTATTTCCCCTGGCCCAGTCCTCATAAGTTGTCTGATTCACTATTCTTTTTTATGACCCTTCACCAGCTTTTATTTGGGGGGCAGCTCGATTAGGGTAAGAGTAGCATAAATGACAAGTGGCCCTGAAATGTAAACCCATATTCTTCCATAAATTCTATACAAATGTCAAGGTATTATCAGGAAGGAGTTTTCCAGCTTGTTTTGTGAAGCATCCTCACTGCCAATACTCTTTCCCCAGAGTCCGATCTAACCAGAGATGGCAGCTGAACCACTGCCCTTCTCCTTTGGGACGCTGTCTAGCTGGGAGCTAGAGGCCTGGTATGAGGACCTGCAAGAGGTGCTGTCCTCTGAAGAGAATGGAGGAACATATGCCCAACCCCCTGAAACAGAACAGGTAAAGTTTACAAAAGTAATTTCTCTGCTAAAACCCTAAGGTAGGGAGTATTATTCCCTATTTGTCATACCCATTTTACAGATGAAGAAAATGACTAGCCCCAGGTCACACAGCTACTAGGCACTGCAGCTTAAGGTGAGGATCCTTTCTGGTGTCACACCATCTTTTTTTTCCTTGTAGGAAGAACTGAAAAGTTTTACTACCCTTGACCCTGCCTCCCTGGTCTGGCTAGCTGAGGAGCCTGGGCCAGGGAGAATCATAAGCAGTGGCCAGAGCCCTTGCTCTCCAGAGTCCAGCCAGAGCTCACTGGCCCAGGAAGAAGAGGAGGAGCAGGGAGAACGAGGAAGAAATAGGAAACGGAGGCACAGTGAGCAGTCCCCTGCTCGAGGTCGAAAGCAAAGCGTGAAAGAAAAGGAACAGGAGAATGAACGAAAGGTGGCCCATCTGGCTGCAGAAAATGAGCGACTGAAGAGAGAGATCGAACGACTGACCAAGGAGGTAGACACGACACGCCAGGCCCTGATTGACCACATGGTCAGCCTGCCCCGGTCATGAATGGCTGAGACTTGAAGGCCTTTTAACTCTGCTATCCAATATGTCCCCTTCCCCAAGTGCCAACCAGCATCCACACACACTCCGAAGGGAAGGTCCCACACCATGTATATAGATGTTATATTTATTATCTCTGACCCACTGCATTAAAATGATTTTTATTCAATCGCACTCAGATGGTGTCTCGGGCTTTCCTTTTCATTTCTTCTTCTTGCCCTTCGAAGGCTCTGGAGGCTTCCCTTCAGCCAGTGCCAGCTGTTGTTTTAGTTCCAGCAGTTTAGCCACCTCAGCCGCCACCTGGGCTTTGTCTGCCTTCTGGGCTTTCGAACTCTCGGACAACATTGCCCTGAGGTTACAGAAAGGGAGGATGAGGAGGAGTGGGTACAGCCCCAGTGCCAGCTCCCTCCCTCTTCCCTGAACCCACCTGTGTTGTCACTGCATCCATTAGCAGCTTGATCTGCTCAGGATCTGCTTGTTCTGTGGAGGCTTCTGCCTTGGAAACTTTGGCCTCAGAAGGAATAAGGGGATTATTTTTACCCCATGCATAAATTCTCCCTCCCCACACAGAAACATGCTTGCAATTATCCCTTTAACAGCACAACAGGGAGAGTGATTACCTTCAACTCCAAGGAGTCTTCTAGCTAAGACAGGAAAAAGAGAAGCTACAGGTAAGGTACTAATAGGATGAAAAGGAACAAAGGCGGGAGGAGGAGGAAGAGGAAGAAAGCTGTTTGCAGACTGAATGGTAGAAAGTCTTGACAAGGGGCAACTTTACCAGGGGCAAATGAGCACAGCTGCCCTCCCTCCTCCTTTACCTGGCCCCCTCCAAAGCGCTTTCTCAGGCTTTCAATTTGGTCGTTTTCTAGCTTCTGGAACAAGGGACTAACCTGTGAGGAAAGAGAAGGTTAAGCCCAGCTGGATAAAAGAAATGACAGCTTTGATACCTGCCATCCTTGAAAGGAAGCTTTGAAGGAGTTTTAGAGGAAATAAAACTCGAATAGGGAATAAAGACTTATACCTTTTAGAGAAGATGATACATAGAACTCTAACCTAAGAGAGTGTAAAGGCCAAAGTATAAATAGGCTTCAGAAGAAGGAAAGCAGGAGATAGTGCTGGCATACTAATAATATCATAAAGAACAACTCCCAGGATCTCTCAGATAACAAATATTATAGGGCTAGCACCAGACCAAATCAGGCTTACATGAATCTAATAAACAGCATTCTTTATGTTCCATTTTAAGGATGACAGTGAAAGACAAGATAGATTGCAGAATGAAACACATCAACCTTAAATGCAAAACTGAGGATGAAAATCAGAAGACTTGGGAACTCCCTGCCTAAAATGAGAGCTTGGGTGGAAAGGAAGGGCAATGTCAGCTCTTCCTTTTCAGCAAAGGCTTCAAGGAGAACAGAATTTCTGAAATGGTTTGTATAACTGGAAGACAACCTACTATACCAATCTGGTGCCCGGCAGGC